CCTTGCGGTATGGTCACGGGCTCCACTGTCAAGCAATTCAGCCATCTCGCATGCTCATCCTCGGCGGTGTGGTCTGTGATGTGACCACGTGACTGCAGGAAGGTCTTGATCTTGGGCACCTGCTGCACCATCCAGGATAGCATGTAGGCCCGCTGGTTGGGGTCCATGCCGTTCGGCCAGCCTGACGTGATAAGTTGCATGCCGCTCTGCTGCTTTTGCAGCATCCTGTTGTCCGAAGCCATCCAGGTCAACTCCTGGCGCGTCCGGAAAACATCATCTGCCACCTTAGACAAAGCCGTTTCAAGTTGGAGCACTAGGTGGTACATTTCCGGCCGAATGATCTTCTCATGGTAAGAACGCATAACGGTCATCACGTCCTTGTTCGTCCTGACCGGAGCCTCGAGCCACTCCTGCACAGCATGCTGGCTGTTGATGTCGACTCCAAGGTTTGCAGCTGTAAGCTCCGCGGCGGCGTGGTCTTGAAGCGTCCATGGCTGTACCAACGTTGGCGCGCCCAAGTCCGGTTGCTCTTCGAGCGGTGTGCCCAAGCTGCTAGCCACCGGTGTAGGTGGACCTCGCTTCTGGCTGGCTCGCTCCCTCCAGGAAACCTCCTGCACTTGGCTCACTGTGGTGCCTCCTGTGAGAAGCCTCGCCCTCTGTGCCTGAAACTCTGTCAGGGCCGAATCTTGACTGCCTGCCATGGCCTGTCCCTAAGGGAGAGGCGGTGTGGTCCAAAATGGATCCACGAAAACTGCGAAAGAACTACCGTGCACGTGCGACCTGACAGCCGATACGCCTGGGCTTGTGGTTTAGGGTTTAGGGTTTAGGGTTTTGGAGCTCGGCTGCAGGTCTGCTGGTTTGGCGTTGGAGGTTGCAAAGTGTACGAGGCACTGAATTTCCATTGAAAGCCCGGAAACTCAGAACCTTGTCCGGCTGAACCCTATTACCTAAACCCTAAACCCTATTCCCTAAACCCTAAACCCTATTCCCTAAACCCTAAACCCTAAACCCTAAACACTATTCCTGACCGATATTTGATGGCTATCACCTATCATCAGTATCGCTACTCTTGCCGCTATCGCTGTAGCCGCCAGGACGACTCATAAAGAGGCCTTAGCAATCAGAATATGGTTTTGGGCGCATTAGACTATAACTATGTTGAGGAACCCCCAAAAATACAATTAGAAATTATTCAGGTCCCAATATGAGCTCCTGCATTGCTGGTGGTGAATCTCCAAAACGTGCCCAAAGTGAAGCAATGTCTCCGTGTAGTCCCCTTACCCAGAGGGCCCATATATAGTATCATTATGGAAGTAGGTCCCCCAGAACGATTACTAAGATGGTCTCTTGGGCCCTATTTCCATAATGGGAGATTGGACCGTCTTGGTTAAATTAACGATTCACAATGCAAGAATGCCCCACTCCGGCTAAACCCGACTCGGAAGTACCCTTTTTACAGCCCTCAGACTGGTAAATGCTAAAAAGCCTAAACCCTAAACCCGATACCCCCTAAAATCCAAAAAGTCCCTGTAACCGCTATGATCTCTATAGCCATATTATCCCAATAGCCCGGTTCAAGACCCTTCTAACACCTTAAAAACACAAGCCTAGTCCTCAACCCCTTTGCACCCCGAATCATCCTCTAGGAGAGTCCGAACAATCCCTGTTCACTCTTTATGGTTCCTACATAGCTAGACGAAGATAGACCCTAAACCCCTACTAGAGACCCGAGGCCTTCCACACTTAAACCTTTTCAAACCTAAACAATAAACCCTGAACCCTACAACTATACCCGAAGCCTTCTCAACCTAAACCTTCTCAATCCTGAACCGCCAGGCCCAGCATGCCGGATCCCCTGAGGCTGCAACAGGGTCTTCAGCAGCAGCTGGCACCTCCAGCGGTCTTGAGCTTTTCTTGTATATTACTATTATACTATTATATATATATATATATATATACTGTTATATTATTGTATTATGATATTGTTACATTATGATATTGTTATAGTAAGATATGATACTATCTTCTTTTAAAAGTGCACCGGATCTTTTACAGCAAACCCGGAAACTCCCGGGAGCTTTCGGGTTAAGGGGTTTGAGCATTTGGGGTATCTATAACCCTCAACCCTAAACCCTATAACCCTAAACCCTAAACCCCTAGACCCCTAAAGCCCTAAACCCTTTAACCCTAAACCATAAACCCTATAACCCTAAACCCTAAACCCTAAACCCTAAACCCCTAAACCCTAAAGACCTAAAGACCTAAATAAGGTACTGCAGGAGTTTGGGCCAAGCGGCCTGCGGTTTAGAGTTGCGGAGTTAAGATCCAGGGTTTCTTTAAAGGGGATCTATAGGGGTTTGTAGGGTTCCTTTAAAGGGATCTACAGGGCCATGAGCCCGGCTTCTTTAGGGTTTAGGGTTTAGGGTTTAGGCTTTGGGTTTGGTTTAGGATTTAGGGTTTCGGCTTTGGGTTTGGTTCAGGATTTGGGTTTAGGCTTTGGGCTTGGTTTAGGATTTAGGGCTTAGGGTTTAGGACTTGGGGGTCTAGCTTCGGCTCGGGGGTTCCGGGTCGGGAAGAATCGGGGTTAACGGTTTAAGGTTTAGGGGTTTAGGGTTTAGGGTTTAGGGGGTTAAGGTCTTCGGCCGTGGTTGGCTCGCGCGCAGCAGGGAGTCAGGAATGAAGCTTCTTTCGGGGTCTTTGGGCCCATTAGACTATAATCATAAGAAGGAGTCCCCAGAATAGTATAAGTAATTGTTATGGCCCCGATATTACCACATGATCCGTGCTCCTTGCACTTCGGCTCAACAGGTTCCCATTAAGGGTCCTCAAAACGTAGCATCAAGTTTAGTGTCTCTAAGGTAGAGCCAAGGACTTGCCATGCATTAAACGCTTGCCGATGCAAACATCATACATAGATACATGACTAACGGATTCGTAGACAGATAAACAGATAGATATCGCATAACATAACACGCGCAATCACTATTGTGCGCTTGTTTAATTGCTCATTTAACTGGTTGCTTGTTACTTATCTCTGTATGTATCAATTGCTGCTAGACTTTTTTTGCCGCTTACTTCACAAGAAAGAAAAACACTCAGAGGTTCTAGGGCTACTTGAAAGGATCCATAGGGTTTCAAAGAGCCACAACCCCCCGGGTTTAGGGTTGGAAGGTTTGAGTCAACCCTAAACCCTAAACGGTCTGAGTGTCCCGCCGCAGGTTCAGGCGGCTCAGGCGCAGCAGACGGATCCGGAGAGCCAAATTTCCCCTGGCTTCGCGAGTTGTCAGTTTAGGGGTTGAGGGTTTAGGGTGTAGGGTGAGTTGCGCTAAGGCACATGGGGTTTAGAGTTTGAGCTTTATCGGGTTGCAAAAATCACTGCGGGGAGGGGGGCATTAGGTTCTGAGATTCTGGCGCATTGTAAAGGGCTGGCTGTCGTAGGTTTATGGTGTTTCACGGGCGTTACGGAGTTCGGCATGGTGTTAAGTTATACTTGGCTTAGAGGGCTATCGGGGTAGGGACCCAAGGTTGCCGGTTCCTACTAAACCATAAGAACCCCGAAAAGATTCAAGGTTGGGCATTGGAGATCTAAGTACGATGATTTCCTTATATAAGTCCTTAAAAAGGTAAACCCTAAACCCTACCTAAACCCTAAACCCTAAACATGAGAGCTGTAGGGCTGCTGGGGATGGGTCTGCAGGGTTGGAGGCATTCGGCCTTTCAAGGGTTCGAGTCGTCGGGCTAAGGGTTTATGGTTTACGGGTTTGGTTTAGATTTAGGGGTTTAGGGGTTTAGGGGTTTACGGGTTTACGGGTTTACGGGTTTAAGGGTTTAAGGGTTTAAGGGTTTCGGGTTTAGGGGTTCAGGGGATCACAAACGAACTGTCGCAGCATGTAAAAGCACAAACGAACCGTGCCTTGCGCCCCATTGCACAGCCCTCGGTCGGCGCGGGCGCTGGCTGGGCGGCCTAGCTGCTCAGTAACGGTAGCCTGGGGCTGAAAACCCTTAGCATTAAAAGGTTTAGGGCTTAGGCATAGATCCACTGAGCAGCTCAGCACAGAAGCCACAGGCTGGTTTAAAGTCCAAGAGCGATGTCAGTGCTCGTTGTGCTAGTGCTGTGGTGGTTGCAAGTGCTGCAGAGGTGCTAGTTGCGCGGCTGCTTGCGTAATGCTTGCGCAGACCTGCTAGGGATGATCTGGAACCACGTGGCTTGTGCGGAGTTTGCAGTGTGTTCAATACTGATTTGGAAATCATACCCTAAATCCTAAACCTTCAAGCCCTAGATCCGAAGCCCATGCAGTAGCCCATGCTCATCTCATACCTGAGCCAAGGAATCGAGGCGGCGCCATGCATGGAAAGGGCCCCAGGTCCCAAGCTTGGGTCTATGGGATCCTTAAAGCTAACCCTACTAATAAGGGCTTAGGGCTTAGGGTTTAGGGTTTAGGGTTTAGGGTTTAGGGTTTAGGGCTTAGGGTTTAGGGTTTAGGGTTTAGGGTTTAGGGTTTAGGGTTTAGGGCTTAGGGTTTAGGGTTTAGGGTTTAGGGTTTAGGGTTTAGGGTTTAGGGTTTAGGGTTTAGGGGCTTAGGGCCTTGGGGTTCACAGCTCAGGGTTTAGGGCTTGGGATGGTTTAGGGGACATGAAGTCGTGCCACTGACCCTATTCTGACATCTCGCTTTTTGTGAAACCACCGCCAGCGACGGCATGTAAGCTTGCTGCTGCAGCGCTTTGAAACTGTGTCGAAAGAGGGGCGAGTATGAACATCTCCCTGCACGTGCGGAACCGTCAGCTGCCCGCATCTTCATCTTCAATACTCCTCATCCTCCATCCGGAACTGTAGCTTCTTCGAGCCACGCGCGACGAGATGCACTGGGATGGCAGAGTGGGCTGAGGGATGTCCGAACCTCGGAGCTGAAAACGTCGAAGGCTGAAGCCTTTGCCTCTACCTTCCGCACTTCATCGACGCAGACATGGTTTGGGCCCAAGAACTCCACCAGACTCTTTTGCTAGAGCTTGATGCGCGACGAGGGTTTTCCGGGTGCCAGCTTTCGTCGAATCTCTGCCCCGGCGTCGCCCATGCTAGCCACCAGGCTCGTGAAAGAGCCCTCTTGCCGCAGAAGCTCCGAAGGGGATCCAGTCTCAATCACCCGCCCGGAATCCAGAACAGCTAAGCGATCCTAGTTCAGGGTTGGGATAGGATTAAAAGTTTCAATTTCTATTCCGTATCAGGTTTAAGTAACCACAAAAATGTAAAATGTTACCCAACTATGACAAAGGATCGTAGTCGATGATCGTGTCCAGCCGGTGAGCTATACACAGAATCGCACAGTCGCCACAGGCGGATCGGATTGCACTCTGCACTTGCGCATCTGTTTTCAGGTCGACACTGGCCGTACCTATACTGAACTTAGACCCCTAGCAAAAATTGTTAATTCAGCTGTTTCTTAGGGATTATAATACCCAAAGATTCGAAAATATTTCTCCTTACCCCTAAGGTACATTCATCGAGAAAGACGATGCGCTGCTTGGCGAGAAGGAGCCGCGCAATGCAGATGAGCTGCACCGTCCCCGCTGAAAAGTTCGACCCCTTCTCCTGATTTCTTGTTCAGGGGTGTAATTTAGGGTACCGTGACAGGGATCTATAGTCTAAACCCTAAACCCTAAACCCTAATATGGTATCTTGAACTGAACCCCTTAACAAGAAACCCCGTCTCCTGCACGGGCTCATCGAGCTTACCCGGCATGCCCTGCACTTGCTCCTGCGGGCTTTAACTCTGAAGTCGCGTAATCCCTAAACCCGAATCCCCAAAAACCACACCCCAAATCCCAAACCCCAAATCTCTAGACCCTAATCCCTAAACCCAAATCCCTAAACCCTAATCCCAAAAACCCAAATCCCTAAACCCTAATCCCTAAACCCAAATCCCAAAACCCAAAACCCCAATAATCCCCGATCTCAGTCCTCTAAATGCGCTAAGCGCAGGGCAGCCAGCAACTCGGCATCGCTGTACTGCCCATGAAGATCTGGGTAGGGTTTAGGGTTACCTTACGGGGTCCTGATAATAAGGATGCTACTATCTAGGGTACTATGTCAGGGTCCTTATAATCAGGATCCTACTATTTAGGGTACTATATTAAGGTCCTTATAGTAAGGATCCTACTACGTAAGGTCATATATATATTAGGGTCCCCCTATCTTCGGAAGCTCTAAACCCTAAACCCTTTATAGAACCCTTATGGATCCTTTTTAAGGAACCCTTCAAGGGTCCCCCTTTCTTCGGAAGCTCTAAACCCTAAACCCTTTATAGAACCCTTATGGATCCTTTTTAAGGAACCCTTCAAGGGACCCCCTATCTTCGGAAGCTCCCAACCTAGGTTTGACCGCAAGCTCCCCGAGAACATCAGCGGGCCCTGCGCTGGCCACTCTGACTTTGTAGGATAGGGTTTAGGGTTTAGGGTTTAGGGTTTTAGTATACTATGCTTTTTTTCCCAAAACCCCCTGTTCTATATTGTGCTTTTGTATACGGTGCTATACTGTCTTATACTGGACTTTACCATAGTATACTTTAGTATACAGTATTGTACGATTTTCCAATGAGCTATACAATATTTTGCTATACTCGACTACCTATCTACGCAGCTATCTATCCATCTATCTACATACATACCTACCTGCTTCCCTGCCTACCTACATACATACGCATGTAGAGAAATATGATGAGTTTGTATATATATATATATATATACATATGCATATATATATATATATGTACGAAACTACATACATATGTTGAAATCCTGCGGAACAATGGCCATGCTCGCCCGGAGTTCTGGAAGAGGAAGGGACTTGGCCTGGACTTTGAAGTAACCAGGGGAAAAAAAGTATAGACTTGTATTTCACAGTTGGTTCCCTTTAAGTACCAGGTCCCAACAAAGTATTATAAAGTGAAGCCCAGAAAGTTGGAACATGGCTTTGGGAGGATTAGTGATAGGATCCCTGATACTTTACAATAAGGGCATGAGGATATTGATGCTCCAACTTTCTGGCTTCTACTATAAAGTATGGTACTCCAAAGCCCAGTGGCACTCTGCCCCCAGACGCGAATCTCACCCTCCTCGGCCTCGACCATCCGAAAGCACGCGAGGAACCTCGGTGGATTCTTTATACGGGTAGTTCTCTACATTAGAGTCCCTGTTTAGGTCCCCCAGAATAGTACGGCACACTTATAAGAAGGACGACAAAAAGGATACTAAAGAACTTCACATATGAATCCTACCATACACACAGACATGGAAATTATGCAAGCCCCAAGCCCCACCAACCTCCAAACCTCTGAACCCTAAACCCGAAAAGCCTGTGCCAAGGGACAGCGTGGATTTCCCGCTGCCTGTGCGGCCACAGATGCCCAGGCGCTCGCCGGGACGCACGGCCAGGCTCATGCCTCGACGAAGAGCAGTGAATCCTAAAGGTTCTCATGTAGGGTTATAGGGTTATAGGGTTATAGGGTTATGGGCTTAGGGTTATGGGGTTTAGGGTTTAGGTTTATAGGGGTTATAGGGTTATGGGTTTAGGGTTTAGGGTTATGGGGGTTTAGGGTTATGGGGTTATAGGGTTATGGGTTTAGGGTTTGGGGTGGTAGGGTTATGGGAAGGTTTGATACAGGGTTCTTGTTAAGGGATTCTAACTCAAGTTATCATCATAGGGACCTCTAGTAAATAACACGGCTTCCTCATTATGGTACCTGAAAACCAATCCCTTAACAAGAGCCCAGGATGAAGGCTACATACGGATTTCATCAGGGTCTCACCTGGGTTGTATACGGTTTGGATGCTCTGTCCTGGGCTTCTTTCATCGGGCACCCTTCATTTAAGGTATTCCGAAGCAAATCTTGAGTGAAAACTTGAGGGTGCCTCATATGGACTCACGAATTCGAGGAGCTAGGGGAATTTTGGGGATGTAGACCCTCTCAATAAAGTCTCTGTGAAGTGCGCCAGAAGTAGGGTTAAGAAGGGAACCCTTTAAGGGGTCTCCCTAATACCACCCAGGAGAATCGAACCGATAAGATTCCATTCTACTGGCGGGCTTGGTTGTAGGGGAGCAAAGTCTCGAAGGTTGCGCGGCAAGCCTGGCATCCATTTGCACAACACCACTCTGAACCCCCCGACATTCCTGAAATCGGAAACCCCTCTACAGATCACTCCAAAACCCCCAAAAGCCCAGCCAGTCCTCCCAAACTCCCAAACTTCCCCCATCCCAGGGTTCCAGGGTTTGCATGGGGCTTAGGTAGGTAGTATTGTGAGGGAGACCCCTTAAAGGGTACCCCTTCTGAACCCTACTCCTGGCTCTCTTAAAAGGAACCTTATTGAGAGGGTCTATATCCCCTAATCCTAACTCCGATTAGGGAGTTTTGAAGCTTGAAGGTTTCGGGCCTCCAACCCGAAGCCCCGTGTCCCTCTCCGGGGCCTTGAAGAGTTAAGGGTAGACCCGGCTGGTAGCGCAAGAACACCTTTGGGCAGCTCTTTCCGGGTTTGGGGGCTTCAGGATGTGGGTTTTGCGAGGTTAGGGGTACAGGGTTTAGGGCTTCGGGTTTAGGGATGAGGTTAGGGATATAGGGTTTAGGGCTTAGGGTTTAAGGATGTAGGGTTTGGGGTTTAGGGTTTCCCTTCATGCAAGGCACCCTAAACCTTAAACCCTAAGCAGCTTCCTACAAAGAGAAACGCCGTCGCAACTCCTCCCCTAAGCCACGCACACTTCGGAAACCCCGAAAGCCTGTGAAACCTCGACGGTATAGGGTTTAGGGTCTGAAAACCAGAACCCTTAAAAATACCCTAAACCCTAAACCCCTAAATAACAAGAAGGCCGAACCCGAAGCCCCAAAAGCTCAAGATCCGAGCTCACCCAACCTCGAAGAAGCCGAAAAAAAATCACACAAAAGAAAGTGCAAAAGCCCACGGTGTAAAGCCCCAAACTAAAGCCCCAAACTCCCTGAACCCTAAACCCAGACCTTCCTTATCTAGATAATTTAGAAACCCTAAACCCTAAAGCCCTAAACCCTAAACCCCTAAACCCTAAACCCTAAACCCCCAGACCCTAAACCCCTAAAACCCTAAACCCTAAACCCTAAGGCAAACCCTAAACGCTGACCCCTAAACCGGGAGACTCCCGGGTCTTTGAGCCGAAAAAACCCTGCACTAAAGCTTTGACCCCCAAGCTAACTTCTCCAGGGTTTAGGGTTTAGGGTTTAGCGGTTTAAAGGGTTTAGGGGTTTAGGGTTTAGGGTGTAGGGTGTGCCAAGCCTGACGCGCGGCTGCTTGTTTCCCACCCGACCCACCCGAGGTTCGTTGTGTATTCAGGTTCATTTTCTTTTTACATTTCTTTATCATTCAAAAATACAACGAGCACAAGCAAGACGATCCAGATACCAAGATTCGGATCGGTTTTGCATCGCGCGGAAGTTAAGTTGTAGCCGAAGGATGCAACTTAACCTACGCGCAGATGTTTGATAGCGAATATTTGGGAAGTTGTGTATGAGAATTTAATGAGAAGGATATCTGGAACCACTGTGATAACCGCCATCCGATCCACCGCCGTGGAAAATCCTTGGGAATTCTTTGGTCAATGTCATAGATCTCGTGCATCACCACTGCGCATGCATACGGCATTGATGGCGTGCTGACGTTTCAAGCAGGTTTGTTGTCCCTGCTCACAAGTCTTTGTCAGGTGCATGCTTCGTCGCGTCTACAGCGAACGCACAGGGCCTAAGAGGCTTGGCTGCAGACATAGGGGGCAGCCCTGTCTACCCCGTTCCATCAAGAACCCCGCAGCTGTTCCTCACCTCGCGTTTGTTCCGGCGTCCCGCAGGGCGCGGCGGTCGCCAGGTCGGGTCGTCGTCGTCGTCGTCCAGCGACCGGGCTTTGGCCAGTGCAAGTTGGTCTGCCTCCTGCTATTCGTAGGGTCTGGCAAAAATTGTTGAAGGAATTCGAAGTCGGTCCTCTGCGTCCGTCTTAGCGGCGGTGCAGACGACTGCAGCCTGCTTGGTATGTGCCGGCGACTCGGAGCACAATACTTCAGCTGTTGTAGGTCTCGCTCCCTTATAGTATTTTCACGTGGTTCTATAGATTGGTGGCACCTCTCCGGAACGGCTTTAAACCTCTGGTCGGCGCACACTGCGCTAGCTCCCTGTATGTCTTGCTTTTTTTTATTATATAATAGTCGTTTACAACTCCGTGCGCTACAGCGCGAGCTCGCCGGCACCACTCCAATTTGCTGTTCAGTGCACATGTCCGCCTAGTTGTGAGGCTGGCCGTTTGTCTGTACTTATCTTATTGTGCTTTTCTCGGTCAGTCGGCCTCCACGACGGCATCGTTGAGCTGGTCGCAGTCGATGTCCTGATCGATGTTTTAAGCACATGCTTGCGAGTCGACACCTGTGCACCTCCTCCGGCACCACTTCAAGCGCCTGGCCGGGGCACACCACGTTGGTATAACGAGAGTCTGTCTCTTAGCGTCCTCTACAGTGGTTCTAGCGTAGCGGCGTCTCTACCGAGCTTGGAACCGCGTGACCCGGCTCTAGCTCAGTGTAAGCTTCGGCCTCCTAGTCGTTTACAACTCTGTTTGTTAGAGCCTAGAGCACCAGCTTGCCCGCACATCGCCCGGCACCTCTCCAAGTTCCTGTTTGTGCACACGCGTGCTTTGCGGGCAGTTGACTCTCTTTACTTATTGCGCTCTCGGTCAAGAACCCCTCGCTTGACCCGCTGTTCTAGCTCAGTGTAAGCATCGCCCTCATAGACGTTTACAACTCTGAGTCTGTTTAGTAGAGCACCAGCTCGCCGGCACCTCGTCCGGCACCTCTCCAAGTTCCTGTTTGTGCACACGCGTGTTTTGCTGACAGCTGACTCTCTTTACTCACTGCGCTCTCGGTCTTGCTGCCTCGACGAAGTCGTCGAAGAGTTGGTCGATCTCGATGTCCTGATCGATGTTTTAAACACATGCTTGCGAGTCGACACTTGTGCAAGCTAGTGCGTGTGGCCTCAGCGTCGCTCTCGTTTGTCGGCACCTCCGCAGTGGAAGCGCGGCATGTCGACTGCAGCTGAGCCACCGTAAAGTCTCCCCGCCTCAGGTACGTCGTGCGGTCGCACGGACACCTGCAGAGCTCTTTCTGCAAGAGCCGCTGGCGCTTGTATTCACACCACCACGCCTTCTTGGTGGGCGTGGCCACAGACACGTTGTCTGTCGCCTCGCACGATTTCAGTTCGCCAGGAAGATGGCTTTGCCTGCTTGCCTGTTCTTTGTCCCAGGTCTTTTTCGCACCATAGTGCAGTAGGAGTTCCTGGTCAACGTCATGTTGTCGTCACGAAAACCAAGTGTTACTCAAGCACATGAGCGTGGCTGAGCTTTCTGTCCTTGTCACTCAGTCGAACTCCGAGGACGCGCTCGAACTGTTCGCGCATTTCCTCCATTTCCTCAGACGCACACATTGGACGCGCTGGCTATCCGCTGCCGCGACAGCGAAACGGTGCGCCTTCTGGCGGCGCGGAGTGCACGGAGGGCTTCGGCAGCCTGCTGCAGGCGCAGGCAAAGTCACAAGCCGCCTCCACTCCGAGGCCCGTGCTTCTGTGTCGCCAGCACTGGTCTTGCGCTTCAGCGACGCTCGGCGGTCTTTGTCGTGCTGGTTTCGACACCAGGCGCTGCTGGACATGCAGCGCCAGTGCGGTTTCCCTGTCCTATTCAAAACCATGGCTCCTTGGGAATGGTCCTTCCCGTATCACACCTGGCACTGGACGAAATGCAGAAGGCCGGTCTGGGCCGCATGGGCTTGGCGGGCCCGGAAACCCTCCACACCGCGCATGTCTTCGCCCAGCTGGAGATGGGTTTGTGCACCGGCCACAATGCACAGGTCAAAACAGACGCGGCGGCGGAGCGCAAACACCCAGGCTGGTCCGACCACATCTTGGCCGATCCGACGGCCATTACGACCCTGCAGCCGCCCGTAAATTTTTTCTTTCGACTCGAATTCCAGGACGGTCAGCGAAAGCTGCCTACTCAGGGATACCATGGCAGCGGCCGGGTCCATTGTCACAGCTTGAACTTCGGATGTCACTTCGCCCGTGCCAGACTTGCTGATCAGATGATGGCCACCGTTCCGGCATGTGACCAGCCAGCCCTCAGGGGCTACATGCTGGGTCGCCCGCATGGGCGGGACGACAGTGGTTGGCCAATGGAACTCGAAGAAAGGACGAGGAGCTCGGGCGAGTGCGACTGCAGCACACCGGCGCAGACAAGGCTGCCGGCCATCGCGCCTTCTTCAAGGAGACCCTGGAGATTACCAAGTGTCACCAGGACGTCCTGCACTGTGACAGGCGGGCCAACAGCATGAAGTACTGCGCCACCTACAACGCCAAGTTCAGCGACTCCTTCGCACAAGACTGGCTCTGCGACGACATCTCCGGCAACGCCGTCGCTCGCAAGGTTTTGTTCGAGTATCATCCGTGCGAGCCGGAGATGTGGCTGTACATCGGCGGTCGCTTGGCCCCGCCATGTCAGTACAGTGGCACGATGGTGTCGCTGCGCGTCCCACTACCCACCCCGGGCGCGGAGAAGAACAAGCTCGTGGAGCTCTACGAAAAGTCACAGTGGCGTGGGGACGACATGACCTTTCTGGAGTGGCTCCGTAAGTCCAATGCCGATGGCAAGATCGCCCGCTGGGTGCAACTGCGTCATAAGCGGCTCGTGTCCCTGCAGCAGACGAAACAATCGCTGCCAGACTTCGCGCGAACCTGCAGTGTGAACGGCGAGAAGCTCATCGCCGCGGATGTGCTTGCAATGTCCAACGATAAGTTCTTCGGGCAATGGATGACCCTCCACGTTCCTTTCCGACAGCATGAGGATCTGCTCGACCCTGCGATTGCGGCAGCCGTGCCCGCCTCCTACCTCTTCCTGGCGAACGCCTGGCAGCGTCGCCCCGCATACTGGACGGACCAAGATGCTGTGCGGCGCGACTTGGAGCTGCAGTCCCTGAGCAACGCAAAGATCGAGACCTTATTGGCCATGCTGCGGGCCAACCTCTACCTGGTCGAGCAATGCGTCCATGGTGGTCTGCGGCTGCCGACGGCGGCCGACGAGCGGGCGGCGCTCCGAAGGGGTGGCCTCCTGGACGACGAGGAGGAGGGCGAGGATGCTGACGCAAAGATGCAGTGGAATCCAGAACAAGCGCGTCTACAGCGCAAAGTCAACCAGGCCGTGGACCGCTCGCTTGCCCACCGCGCGGAGGAGAATGACGACGAGCGAGCCGAGGAAAAGCGGCAAGAATCCTGGAAGCACAGCACTGTTATCGCGGGCATCGGTCCGCCCGGCACCGGGAAGACGACAGCCGTGGACGTTTGCGTTCGACGGACGCCGACAGGCCAGCAAGCCGCCCGTGTCCGTGGCCGCTTCCCGACCTGCGACGTCGACACCTGCTCCGGTGCCTTCGGCCTCTGGCAATCATCTCAGGACGCCTTGCATCTCCTGGACTTGCTTTCTACCTACGACTTGGTCGTCGTGGACGAAGTCTCACAACTTTCCAAGCACGACTTCAACCGCATTCTGAAACTCTGGGACGCGGCAAGTCGGATGCCTGCATTGGTGTTTATCGGAGACTTCCATCAGCTTCCCGGCGTGGAGCCCACCAACGCCAAAGACAGTGCCAGGTGGCCGCATGTCTTCAAGGTCGACTTGTGGCAAATGTGGCGCTGCCAGGATCCCGCCTTAATGGCCAAGCTCCGCCTACTGCGTTTGAATCAACCCACGGAACAGCAGCTGCGCGACATCTGCCGTGGGCATAAGGCATGGAGCCAGACGAAGGAGCCCGCAGCTTACGACGTGCTCCGCCTCCACCGCGACCATCCTGACACGGTGGTGGCCACTTGCACCCGCCGAGCTGCAGCGCTCGTTAATGAGCTCAGCGTGCAAGGGCTCTTCTCCGACCGTGGCAAGAAGTCGTTGGGGACCGTAGACACGGACTGGGAAGCCAACGTGGACAACTACTTGCTCGACGGCAAGCTCAGGTCTGGTTGCCCGCCACGGCCGCAGCCACTCGCTTTGTTCGCAGGCCTCAAACTCCACTTGACCAGGAACCTGGACAAGCCCGGCGACTTCGTCAACGGCATGGCCGCAGTCGTGCAATCCTTCCATCGGCCCTCGGGTTGCCTCCGCGTGCTCACGCAAACTGGAAAACACCTGGCGGTTTACCCCGTCACGGAGTTTGTCGAGGACTGTGGCACCGTCACAAGCTTCAAGGCGCGGAGCTGCCACATGTCACCGTCTGGCTTGATGTGAAGCACATGCGTGCCGCTGGGTACGTCGCCATCAGCAGAGTCCGCACCGACGATGCCTATCTGCTTGCCGGCTTGTTGACCCCGGAGCACTTCACGCCTGCTGTTTGACATGTGCAATATACTGTCAGCAGCTTCTGCAAGTCTAGAGTGCTGGCAGCTACTGATGCGTAGAGGATCGCACGAAGTGCACGTAGTATACATCACCACGCAAGGAGCTGCATCTGGAAATGTATATATATGTATAACGTCTCACAAGCCTCGGAGCGGTGCACCGCTCCCGGCCGCTGCCATGCAGTGGTTTAAGATACCTCTGTGCGAGCATCCGTTGGCGGAGCAGAAAGGAGCCACGTCCTTAGCGAATGTCAGCGACACATATGACAGTGCTGTCGGCTCTATCGAGGGACAGACCTGGGAATGTAGGGGCGAGCCTTAATCGTCGAGTTCGTCGTTGTTGCAAGCTGATCGCATGTCGCAAACGTGCCGTGTCCGCAAGGTCTTCCCCGCAGCCGTTGCCATCTAACAGTCAAGTTAAGACTCGCCTGAACGCGACGCCGCAATGCCGTGCCGCCGCAAAGGGTGCCCACGTGGCCGACGGATAGTCCGGCCGTCAGAATCGCGCAGCTGCTCGACTGGTTTTGCGGGGAGTAGGATTTCAGGTTTTATAGGGCATGGGATTGGAGAGTTTTAGCAGCTCAGCATTCTAGGATTTTAGGGCTTAGCGTGCCAGGATTTTAGTGGATGGCATTTTAGCAGCTTAGCGTTTTAGGATTGTAGCGGCTCAGCGCTTGAGGATTTTAGCGAATTAGCGTTTCAGGATTTTAGCGGCTTAGCATTTTAGGAGTTTAGCGATTTAGTGTTTTTGGCGGCTTAGCGTTTTAGGATTTTAGCGGCTTAGCGTTTTAGGATATTAGCGGCTTATAGCGCTTTAGGATTTTAGCGAATTAGTGTTTTAGGGTTTTAGCGGCTGGGCGTTTTAGGATTTTAGCGATTTAGCGTTTTAGGATTTTAGCGAATGCGTTTTAGGATTTTAGCGATTTAGCGTTTTAGCGGCTTAGCGTTTTAGTGTTTTAGCGGCTTAGCGTTTTAGGTTTTTAGCGATTGGCGTTGGAGGATTTGCGTTTTAGCGGCTTAGCGTTTTAGTGTTTTAGCGGCTTAGCGTTTTAGGTTTTTAGCGGCTTAGCGTTTGAGGATATTAGCGGCTTAGCATTTTAGGAGTTTAGCGATTTAGCGTTTTAGGATTTTAGCGGCTTAGCATTTTAGGATTTTAGCGATTTAGCGTTTCAGGATTTTAGCGGCTTAGCGTTCTAGGAAATTGGGGATTAGCGTTTTAGGTGCCACAAACGACTTGGGTATGAAGTTTTAGGGTCTGAGCATTATAGGGAGTCGTCAGTGGGTGATTGCCGAGGATGAGAGGCTGCAGAGGCTTCACCCTCTGCAGTGATGTGCCTAAGCGGCTCTCTGATCGATCGCGGGCCGCTTCACGACTAGGTCGCGCTCGCGGCCATGACTTTAGGGTTTAGGGGTTTAGGGGTTTAGGGTTTAGGGTTTAGGGGTTTAGGAGTTTAAGGGTTTAGGGTTTTAGGGTTTAGGGGTTTAGGGGTTTAGGGGTTTGGGGGTTTAGGGGTTTAGGGGTTTAGGAGTTTAGGGGTTTAGGGGTTTAGGGGTTTAGGGGTTTAGGGGTTTGGGGGTTTAGGGGTTTAGGGGTTTAGGGGTTTAGGGGTTTAGGGGTTTAGGGTTTAGGGCTCAGGGTTTAGGGTTTAAGGTTTAAATTAGGTTTAGGGTTTTGTTGTCGGGGTAGGGTCGGGTTTAGGGTCTAGAGCAGGGTCGAAAGTATCTCGGAGCCCTAACCTGGGTTCTTTTTAAAAGACTTAAGCTGAGTTACCATAATAATAAGGAAACCATATTACTTACTATAGATCCATATTCTGGTCACGTAAACCTCTAAACCCCAAACCCCTGTAGACCCCTTAAAGGTACCCTTACAGATCCCTATTAAGGTAGTTTAAGCTCCTTAACAAGAGCCCTTATAGAACCCTAAACCCTGGACCCTTAAAGGACCCCTTCTAGATCCCTTAAAGGACCCCTGATAGATTCCTTAAAGAAGCCCCTATAGATCCCTTAACAGGAACCCAGAACCCCCCCCCCCCCCCCCCCCCCCCCAACCTCGCGGAGTTCCAGAGCCACCGCGTTTGACCCAGGGACGACCTTCTCCGCGGACTTTACATGGAGGCCCTCCTTCCAGTAGTCGTGGTCCTTCTGGGGGTGAGGGTTTAGGGTTTGGGGTTTAGGGTTTTGGGTTTTGGGTTTAGGGTTTTGGGTTTTGGGTTTAGGGTTTTGGGCTTAGGGCTTAGGGCCTAGGGTTTTGGGTTTAGGGTTTAGGGTATGAAGGCCCTCCTTCCAGCAGTCGTGGTCCTTGTGCGTTCTGGGTTTAGGGTTTGGCCCCTCCTGGACCCCACAAGAACTCTAAACACTAAAACTCAGATTGCAATAGGGTTGGGTTTTTTGGGTTCTGGGGTAAAGTATTCGTTAGCTATCAGGGGATGTAGAGAGCTGTTATTGCTAATGACCTGACCCCTATCCAAAAAAACCACGACTTCTGGAAGGAGGGCCTTCATAAAACCCCTAAACCTTAAACTCAAAACCCTAAACCCAAAACCCGACTTGGTAACTCGGGTTTCTGCTCGAGGGCCTTCGAAACCTTGTTCCAGCTTACCGTTCAGAGTTCAGGGTAAGGTTGAAGCTTGAGTGTTTCGGGGCTCCCAAACCCTACTTGGAGGCCCCGTTTGACTTAGTGAATAGGGTTAGTAAGGTGGGTTATGGGGATTATAATAGGGTTTCTAGGGGATACTATGTAGACTTACTAAGTCAAAAGGGCCTCCAAGTAAACCCCCAACCCCTAAACCTAAACTCTAAACCGCAATCATCTTCGGTCTTTCGGCAGTCCTGCTTGTCACCCTCCCAAGGCAAGCCTGCATATTCGGCCACCCGCTGCGCACCCCCGAAGAATTTCCTCGGTCAAAGATTTCGGGTTTAGGGCTCGGGGTTTAAGGTAGACATCTATCTACAAATTTGGGGTGTTCGGGCTTGAGGATTTAGCACTTTTAGTGTTGGTTGCTGTGCAAAAGAACCGCCGGACGCTTCGGAAACTCAACACCAAAAACATCGGCCACTCCAAACCCTAAACCTTCAACTGTAAATTTGCAGATTGCAAAAAAAAGCCTTAAACCATAAACCCCAAACCCTAAACCCCATTAGACTCTGAACCCTAAACCCCAAACCCTAAACCCTGAACTTCAAGCCCAGCTTCTCGAAGGTGCTCCAACACCAGAGGTACAGGGGAATCCGTTGGGCGAGGCCGACCGTCAGGGCCAAACCTAACCCTCCCAGCTCCTGGGCTCATATTGTCATCAAAGAATATAATACTGTAGATTACGGTATGCTCTATATATATATATAGTGTACTACGGTACACGATGGTATAGTCTAGTACATTACAGCTCAGCTTGATTAGCGCCCATCACCCGCCCGCAAGAAACTCTACACCCTTGATTGGTGAAGCCTTCTATACAATAACCCTTCTAGACCCAGGATCCCTGTAGCTTCAGGGTTTAGGGTTTAGGGGGTGGACCTATTCCTAGAGGCTCCACATGTACTACATACCATTATGGAATTCGATCCCACAAGACCTGCTTATTGTGGTTATAGGGACCCTAAACCCTAAACCCTCAACCCCTAAACCTCCGTAATGGTAGTATATCTGGAGCCTCTGGGATTGAAACAAGACACTGCAGAGGTGCTTGGTTTTTCAAACTGAATCCTGAAGAAGAGCCCAGGCACGGGGGTGAGGCTTCCGGCATAGACGAGCAGCACCACAGAGGCACCCAAGCAGAGCGTGATGAAAGGGACACAGACGGCAATCTGCAAGCCCATAGCTAACCGATCCACAGCGTGAATCCAGTAGTAAGTCTTGTAATATCCGTCCATCGTCTCGAAGAACCGCTTGACGAAGTGACGCTCTCTCCGGAAAGCCCGGATGGTGTCCATCGCCAAGAGGAACCCCGAGACCTGGGACATCACTGGGCTGGTCGCCATGAGCATGAGCCTCTGAAGGTTCAAGGCCACAGAGCCGTAGCGATCCTGCAGGCGCCGAATAGGCCAGCCGATCAGCAATAAGACCAGCAGCGCAGGCCATGCGAGCACGCTGGCTCCGATGATGCCCACAAAGACCACAGTGAAGTGCTGCATAGCGAACTCAAAGAGTCGCGGCATCTGAAGATCCATTAGGGAGATGTCCTGCGAGAAGCGGTTCAGAACTCGTCCTAAGGGCGTGGTGTCATACCACTTCAACGGCTGACGCAGCACCGATGCCAGCATCTTCTGGTGCAGGTGGCGAGATATCTTGGTGAAATACATCGCCGCAGAAGACACCTAGACCATGCTTTTTGGTAACGATTGCCACACAATGCTCAGGGTTTAGGGCTTAGGGTAGTGCACCCCAGGCACCCTCAAGGTGCAGCACAAGGCAAAGGCCAAAGAAGCGAGGAGATAGTCCCTCTGGTAGTCAAAGGCTGGCCCCAATTGTGCCTCCCACAAGTTTCCAGGCTTCCAAGGCTTCAAGGGTGCTCAACATCTACTTCCATACATTTTGAGGGGTCCGGAACTTTGCCTTGGGTCAGGATTTCGTTCCCAGCATTTCACCACGAGCCTCCCGAATCCAAGTCGCCAGCAGGACGTTCGAGAGGAACATAGCGAGCGGCACCAGCAAGGAGGAGAGCGCTAGGCAAAGCCCGAGAAGGGTCGACTGGCCTCAATGTCAAGCATGCCTTCGAGTGACAAAGGACCCGAAAACCCATGCCGAACAAAAACCGCAAGATACTGTGTCACTGCCGGCGTGTTCATCTGCATCTGCATCCATTTATCTGTCTGTGTGCCACAGCAAACTCCCTTTATGCACCACACCCGTTCATGCTGCATAGCCTTACAGCGGAAAGACTTTCGTTAGGCGGATATGTAGGAAGGCATGGGTGCAGAAAGACAGCAGGCAAGTAAGTTGGCAGACATCAGGAGACAGACACAGAGCCAGGCAGACAGCCAGACAGCGAGCCGGGTTTAGGGTTTAGGGTTTAGGGTTTGGGGTTTAGGGTTTAGGATTCTTTTTGACAGACATACAGACAGACAGATACTTTGATAGATAGCAAGGTAGCGAGGTAGATAGACAATAAGTAGATAGGTAGATTTGTAGATAGGTAGACAGCGAGATAGGTAGATAGCTGGATAGGCAAGTACGTGCACAGGCAGACTGGCAGATAGGCAGGTAAATACACAGATAGGTATATGTGCAGATTGGAAGGGTAGATATGCGGATGGACGGATTGGCGTGGGGTCGGACAACGAACCCTGCGTTTTGCTGCTTTTACGAATAGACCCCGGCCACTCCCAAAGCAACCAAGTCGAGAAAAACACGAGAAGACCAAAGACAGCAATGAAATCAAAATCCAGAAACCCCTGTCAGATGGAAAGACAAATAAACGGATACAGCGCAGATGGATGTAGACGGACAGGCAGCCAGACAGGCAGATAGACAGCTAGGTAGATAGATAGGTAGACAGACGGACAGATGGAAGGACGGACAATTGGACAAATGGAGATACGGAGAGATTAATGGATGGGTAGATGGGGTGTGGGTGTATTGCCAAGGGGTAGATGGACAGATGGACACAAATGTGCGGAGAGATAGGTACGACATACAGGCAAACGGCCTAACAGACCAGCAAGGATGCAGATGGGCATGCCCGCATGTATGTATGTATATTGGTATGTATATCTACATGTATGCTGTAGTACGCAAGCACAGAGACGATGTAGCTATTCGGCTATTCGGATGCACAGGCTGATACGGAGAGTCATGTCTTATTGGATGCAAACAAAAGTTGCAAGGCCAACTTCGCTCGTGGCACATATATTACTTGGCGTGTGGCCGTCGCAGTCGATCTCTTAAGCCTTCAGCTGAAACCAAAAGTAGCCTCATGACGGTCAAAGTCAAGGTCGTCATTACTGCTCATGCTATCACTTCCTTGTACTGCTGTTGCCCTGCCTGCGGTGCTAAGTAGACTGTAAGTGTTGGCTACTAGCAATGGCATTCGCACTATTATTTGGGGGTTGTTCTAAATTGTGGTCCCTTTTTGGGCCCTACAGTAGTATAGTCCTTATTATATAGGGTACCCAAAAAGGTTCCATAATTTACAACAACCCCCATTTACTGCCGGATCCAAAGGACTCTTTAAAACCTTCAAGCACACGTGTAAAACCTTGTAAACCTTATAGCGGGCTATTAAAACCTTACGAATCGCCCCCCCCCCCCCCTGGGAGCTAGAATGCCCTTAAACACAAACTTAAAGAGAGCCCTGTTGAAGGAACCCTTATAGAACCCGTTAAGGTACCCCCGCACGCCTCCTTGGGCCACGTTCAACCACTCCCGGACCCCCAAGCGGCCCTGCAACATGCCCTCAGCCTTCATCCCGCTCTTCCTTGGTGAGTTCATGGTGGTTTAGGGGCTAGGGGTCTTCATCCCGCTCGTCGTTTCAATGCTTAGGTATCTTACGTAGGGGCGTTTTAAGGCCTTTAGATATCTTGGTGATTTTTGTTGTCTAATTTGAAGATTGTAAGGATTTTAGCCATGTTAGAGTGGTTGAGACTTGCCGTTTCGGCCATCATCCCGATCTTCATGCCGGGTTGGTTAGTTAAGGTCGTGAAGGCTCAGGGCTGAGGGAATGAGCTTTGACGGTTTAAGTTTAAGGTTTGAGGGTTCACGGTTTTAAGGATCAAGGGGTTTGCTTGGGTGTCGAGGGGTTTCGGGTGTGGGTCAGGTTTTAGGGAGTGTTTGACGACAAGGATAGGCTTTGCAACGCTGTCCGGTTAGGGAATACTGTGCCTCCTTGTAGGGTTGTTGTTGCTTTTGCGTTGGGGCAAATTGAACTCAAAACGCCAACATGAGCGTCTCAGCAATCACGGCATCACGAATACAGTTTCGACTTTTTCCTCGGCTTTTTTGGGCAACAGCCCCCAAAAAAAAAAACATGTTTGGGAAACTCGAGCAGAACGCGTAGAGAACCTTATGAAACCCATTGTCAAGTACACGGCCTTCATATGATCATGTAGTCTTCCCCAAAAAACCCGTACGAGCGCCTTATACGGCTCCATTAAACCACTCCTACACATCCCAAAACCAAAAGCAAGCCCTTCCCTCAACCCTGTGAAGCCCCCAAATGTTGAACTTTCAACCCTACACCCTACGCCTTATTATAGGGACCCTTCCCATAATAAGGACTAATAACGCGTATTTAAGGAAATATAGTCCCCTACCCCCCTCCCCCCTACCCCCGAAGGGTCCCTATGACCTTACTTACGTTCCTTTGAGGGAGGCCAAGGGTCCCCGAAGCCGCCGTTGGTCGCAGAACCTCTGCAGCATCGGAGCGTGCACAAAACCGAAACCCGGATGCCTCGACCTAAAGTTGCTGAGCTTTTCAGTAACAAGGGAGAAAAAAGCGTAAACTTTTATTTGGGGGTGGTTCTAAATTATGGTCCCTCTTTGGGTACCCTATATAATAAGGACTATACTACTATAGGGCCCAAAAAGGGACCATAATTTAGAACAACCCCCATTTCATAAGGGTTCCATTAAGAAAGAAAGTAATAAAGTATGGCACTCCAAAGCCCAGGTTGGAGGTGTTTAGGGTTCAGGGGTTAGGGCCTAGGGCTTAAGGCTGAGGTTCAAGTTCTCCCGACCCGCCCACGCAATCCACTACACTGGTCGGGCTGAGGGTTTTCATTCGCATAGTTTTGGGCGGGATTGGGTGTAGGGTTTAGGGTTTAGGGTTTAGGGGTTACTGCCAAAAACTGTACAGGGTGTATCAAGCTGAGAGTGCAATGGAAGAGCTCTCGTGCAACTGTTTTCTGATGCAAGTCGGGAATACTACGGGGTACTGTACTAAACACAGGCAAACACACCAAATGTGTATATGTATATATATATAGACACATACATACATACATATACATATACATATACATATACATATACATATACATACATACATACATACATACATACATACACATATATACATATACACACGTATTCAACCGAAGAACCGCAAAACCTTGAAAACGCTCAGAGCTGAAAATCACAAGAACCCGAAGCGCCAAGCACGCAACCCTCAAACTTTAATACAAGTAAACCCTAGACCCAAAAACTGAGAAACTTAAACGTAAAACTTAAGCCTTAAACACACAAGCAACTTAAAACTAAATCCTGAAGCCTAAACCACTGGACCTGCATGAGTAGAAGAAGACGCACCTAGACCTGCGGCCTTCCTCGGGGGTTCGGGGTTCTATAGTTTGGGCTTTAGGGGCTGAGGAAAGTTCAAGGCGAAGGCCTTTGAAGCCGTAGCTTTCCAGAGTTCGGGGTTTGGAAGTGTAGGGAGTGTGTGACTGAAGTTTTTGTGCTTTGGAATTGTAGAGTTTTGGGTTAAGGGGCTTCGGGTTTAGGATTTAGAGTTTAGGGCTTGGGGGTTTAGGTGGTTTATGTTCAGGGTTTGCGCCTGCGGCCGACTGACCCCAGCGCCGATATCTTGTTCCTCGTTGGTCGGTCTCTTCTCCGGTCCTGCTCTAAGGTTTAGGGGCTTAGGGGCTTAGGGGTTTAGGGTTTAGGGTTTAGGGTTTCGGGTTTAGGGTTTAGGGGCTTCGGGGCTTAGGGTTTAGGAATTTAGGGTTTAGGGGTTTAGGGTTTAGGGAAGGCCGGTCTTCCTTAGGGTTTAGGGTTTAGGGTCCAATGATATCCCCTTATCGTCCCCGCATGAAAATTGTCCATAGCTTACCCAGAACCCCTCTTCCCAGCCTCAAGGCCCAAAATGTTACCTGAACCCGCGTTAGGGGCTCAAGATTTCGGATGTGAGGGTTGGGGCTTAGGGTGGCAACAAGTTAGGGTCTTGGGTCGGGGCTCGAGGATGTCGATGCTAGCCTCTACTTGGAGGTTCATGGGTAGACTTAAGCGGGGTTATAAGTCCCCTAATATGACTTAGAAGTATAGCTACCCTAATTAGGACCTTACTTATCCCTACCCTAATCCCTAAACCCTATAACCCTATCGATCCCTTTAAAGGGACCCTATATACCTATAACCCTACTTAGAACCTTACTTATAGCTACCCATGAACCCTAAACCCTATAGCCCCATAGATCCCTTTGAAGGAACCCTATATACCTATAACCCTACTTAGAACCTTACTTATAGCTACTCATGAACCCTAAACCCTATAGCCCCATAGATCCCTTTGAAGGAACCCTATATACCTATAACCCTACTTAGAACCTTACTTATAGCTACCCATAATCCCTAAACCCTATAGCCCCATAGATCCCTTTGAAGGAACCCTATATACCTATAACCCTACTTAGAACCTTACTTATAGCTACTCATGAACCCCCAAGTACGGTGCCAAGAGGGCGGGGTCCCCAAATCCCAGGCCATAGAGCCGAACCCTGGAGCGCTTCTGATTTCAATGACATAAATTACGCACACATACATGTTAGGGTTTAGGGTTTAGGGGTTTAGGGTTTAGGGTTTAGGGTTTGGGGTGTGTGCACAGATAGATGCTATCGACTTCTTTACCTGCTTGGTGACTCAACTTGAAGGAAATGCAACCCTAAACCCCGAATCCTAAACCCTAAACCGCACATTTTCGATGGATCCTACGTGGCACTACTGAGTTTCAGGACATGCCCTGAGCTCGCAGACAATTCGTGCCACAGTTAGACTTGAAGCTGCTAATTTTATGCAGCTGAGGGCTTCGGTTTTTTGTTGAAGGCTCAAGGTTTAGGCTCTGGGGCCTAGGGTTTAGGGCTTTGCTGTGTGGGGATTAGAGCTTGACGGTTTGGGGTTTAGGTTTTCGGGTTTTAGGGTTGAGGTTTAAGGTGTAAGGTTTGGGGCGCCTTGTTTTGGGAACGTCTGAAGTTGAAAGAGTTGCTAGGCGTCCTTCTGACGGCACCGCGACCGAGCTGCTCGCCGCACCCAGTTCTCGGGCAGTCTCTTGGAAGCTTCCCTGGCGAACTTCGCGGCCTGCTTCCAGAATGAATGAGGGCTTGGGCGCCCTTAGAGTTTGGGGTTTAGGGTTCAGGGCCTTGAGTGGGTGACGGACGGCCTTGATGAGTATACCGGCTCTTGATGGCCTTGGGAGTACAGGGTTTGGGGCGTCAAGGCTCTACAGGGTGTTGACGGCCTGCTTCCAGCATGAGAATCCTGTCTGCAGAGGAGCAAAGCTGGATCCTGGGTTGTAGTTCAGGGCGCCCAAAACTCCTTATGACACTCTTATTTGTGACTACGGATGTCTTTTTTGAGTGACTTTTTCCGCCGGTTTAGGGTTGAGGGTTTAATTAGGGTGATCAGCAACGGGCGCGAGGGAAGAATAGCACCCCAAACTGCCAGCCAGAAGCTGATTCGTGGTCATCAAGATGGCCTTGCCCTGCGCACGCAGGGCGAGAATGCAGCGGGAGAAGACGCTTGCGCCAATGTGCGCATCCATCGCGGAGAGTGGATCGTCTAGGACCACTACGTCGGCGTCAGCATAGTATGCTCGCGCCAGGGCAATGCGAGCCCTCTGGCCACCGCTGATCGTGATGCCCTTCTCGCCAATCTCCGTAGCATCACCTTCCACAAACTGGTCCAAGTCCTGCTCCAGGCAACACCTGGGTTCTTGTTAAGGGATTTTTAAGTTACCGGAATAAGGAAACCACATTATTTACTATAGATCCCTATTTTGTTAACCTAAAACAAACTCCCTAAGAAGAAGCCAGACACGCAGCGATTGCTTCCTCATACCTCTCCTCATTCAGGGGGAGACCGAAGAGGATGTTTTCCCGCACGGAGGCGTTCAAAACTTGCGGGTTCTGAGGCACGTAGGCCGGCTGACCCAGAATTCCTGGGCTGCTCTCGCTCACGCACTTAACTAAGTTACCATACAAAGTATAGCATAATATACCCCAAAACCCCTTTCTTCTAGTTAGTAAGGCGCCTATAGTACAGTACACTTATAGATCCCTTATAGTAGCCCTGAAAGACCCCTTTGCAGGAACCCTGTTCTAATTATTAAGGCCCCTATTTTCCAGCTCTAAACCACCATAGGGAAGCATGGCAACAAGACGTGGCATCCCTATGCGGGGAGTCACTTTGAATCACGCTCCGTACCCCTTAACTCTAAAACGCGAGCCCTGAGCCCCTATGGGAGTTTACGATAGTTAGGGGTACTTTGTTTTGGTGTCCTTAGAGTAAGGATCCTACTATTTCGGGTACTAATATTAGAGGGTCCCCTCTTTTCGGAAAATCAGCAGAGCCCATTCTAATGATTAAGGCCCCTATAATATGAGAGTACTCTTATAAGTCCCCAAAAGAAGGCCTGAAAGATTCCTTTAAAGGAAGCCTTATAAATCCCTTTAAACGAACCCTTTATAGATCCCTTTAAACGAACCCTGACAGATCCCTTTAAGGGAACCCTTATAGATCCCTTTAAACGAACCCTTATAGATCCCTTTAAAGGAACCCTTACAGATCCCTTTAAACGAACCCTTATAGATCCCTTTAAAGGAAGCCGAGATTCGGACCTCGCCGGCTTCTGCAACTTGCCGCACCAAGCCGAAGATGCCAGAAACCAGCGTCGACTTCCCGGAAGCCACCGGACCTTCGGCCATCACCAGCGCTTCCCCTAAACCCCAAACCCTAAACCGGGTTTAGGGTTTAGGGTTTTAGGGTTTAGGCCTAAACCCCTAAAACCCCTAAACCCCTAAACCCTGAACCCCTGAACCCCTAAAACCCCCAAAACCCCTAAACCCTAAACCCCTGAAACCCTAAACCCTAAACCCCCAAACCCCTAAACCCCTAAACCCTTAAACCCCAACCCCTGAATGGCCCTAAACCAGGGCCTACGGCCATCACCAGCTCTTTGGGACGGACTGTGAGGCTGATCTCTTGGAGATGTAGCCTCTCCTCGGCTGTGCCAGCAGGCTTTTTCAGGATTAGTTTAGGGTTTAGGGTTTTTGTTTGAGGACCTTTTCTAGTGCACGGAGAGCCTCAAATAGGCAGGCCTGGTTCTGTTACCATGATTTCTGGATAAGTTTAGGGTTTAGGGTTTGAATCGCAAGTTCAAGTTTGGCGCTCAACAGAAGAAGTCTTCCAGAACGGGCCAGTCTCGCCATTCCATGAGAAACTGGCGCGCTCCAGGCAGATGCCCTCCTTGGCCCCCTCCGGGGCTGCTAGAGTGCTGGCGATCTCCGGGACCAGCAGCAACCGCTCAATCCGGGCGATGCCCGCGCTCATCGTCTGCCTTCAGATACCATAAGAACCTAATAAGTCCCACAATCTCGGGGTTTATACTGCAACGGGAATAGGGTTTAGGGTTGATTGATATATATATATATATATATATATCCATGGACCTAAAGTCACAGATAAATTCTTCCTGATGAGGCCCGGCACAACTGCATCCGGCAGTTTGGCCAGAGCATGAAACCGAAGGAAAGGGGGTCAAAGTAGGCCACAGTCATCGAAACGATGTCGGCCTTTACGTTTTAGGGTTTTGGGGTTAAGGTTGGGTTTGAAGTTTAGGGCTACTCCTGAAAGTCTTATATGAAGGGTCAGGATAGTGGGGGGGGGGGAAGGTGGAGGCGGCGGGAGGTCGAGGCTTTACGGTGCAGGGGGTTTGATATGTCTCAGGGCTTACAACATCAAAGCCCCTACAGTAGTGCTTCTTCGGAACACGCTTGCTTATCGAGAAGCCTGGGCCTATGACCCAAAAATAATAGGATTCATACAAGGAATCCTAATAAAGGTCCAAGGTTTCTTATGGTTAGGTTCCTACATTATTGAGAAGCCCGGGCAGCTTGGTTTAGAGTGTTTGGGGTTCGGGGCCTGTCTTAGGGCTTCATGAGGCAGCTTACGGTGGAGGTCTGGGGCCAGGGACATTCCAAGGACCTCGTAAAGTTCAAGGTTCGGCGCAGTACCATACAGAGTAGGTTTTGGGATATAGCATGCTATAGAACAACTACAGTAAGGAACCCTAAGGAATAATTTCAGAAATTGCTCGTGCCTCTATATTAGGGAGTATAGTTTGTTGCGATTGCAATGAGGCAAGAAACCCGAAGGAATAATGCCGGTAATTATTCAGGCTTCTATGTTAGGGCCCATATCGGACCTCCAAGGACCGGCCCAGAGCCACGTGCGTCAGCAAGGAGGCCGTGATCCCAATCACAGGCAGAGCCGCCGTGGCACCCTGCTGCAAGGCGTAGCACAAGTGAATCCACGACAGAAGCCGCACCTAACAGGGTTTAGCATTTACGGGTTTGGGGACATTCTAAAAACAAAAAAGCTACAATAGAATCTGGTCTGGCTGGCTGTTGGCCGCGGCACTACCGCGAGAAGATCGAGAGCCTCGTGGTTTCTAAGCTACTTTTGCTGTAGACAACACGTACAAACTCAAAATCGCAAACCCGCAAACCCTAGCATCACTGATTAAACCATAACCCGAAAATAAAACCCCGAATCACTGAATGATTGAACCCCGAAGCCTTAAGCCCTAGATCTTACAATGACCTTGAACCCTACACCCTGTTAAACTGGAACGAACATAAGGCGTCAAAGAAATCCTTATACTAGGCCCAAGAGTAACCTAGGAACAAAAAGGGTGCCCTTTTTGGTTTAAAGGGGCTTATAAGGGCACCTGAACCCTAAAAAAAGGGAATAAGGGCCTACCCCAGGTCCTAGTATAGCATCACTAAACTTTACAACCAGGAACCCACGGAGGCACTGCAACCTGAAGACCCAGCACGTAAAGTGGGCTCGTGTCAGGGAACAAAATTTAGGTTGCCTCAAAAAGGGAGCCCATTAGTTACTATCAATCCCCAAGATGGTCCCATGATGGTAACTTAAGCGAGATTGCATAAACCCCTAAACCCCTAAATCCTAAACTTCTTAAACCCTAGACCCTAAATCCTAACAAGGAACAATCCTAAACCCCTGAAACCCTGAACCCCTAAACCCTAAATCCTAACAAGGAACCCGTAAACCATGGGAGGGTCGGTGCCTCTTCATCTCCTAAACCCTAAACCCTAAAGCCCTGAAACCCTAAACCCTAAACGCTTAAAACAGGGAGGGTCGGTGCCTCTTCATCCCTCACTCGCTTGATCTTCGCCTCCAAGGCAGCCTCCCAGGCGCAGTACTTGATCGATCGTGCACCTGAGTGATGGGAGGCCAAAAGGGGGGTTTAAGATTCTTGGGGTAGGGATTCCTTAATATGAACCCTATTATGGGAACCCTAATCCCGACTAAACCCCCATAGGCTAAAACCCGAGTTCTCGAGCTGCTAAGGCTTTAGGCTTTCGGGGTTTAGGCTTTGGGGTTTAGGGCTTTAGGCTTCAGGGTTTAGGGCTTCAGGCTTTAGACTTTAGGGTTTAGGCTTTAGATTTTAGGGTTTAGGCTTTAGGTTTTGGGGGTTAAGGGTTTTTTGTTGAACTCCTTTTATCCGGTGCCCCACAAGGTCCTGAGAGGCTTAAACAGCCAGGACAGCAAGGCACATATGGCTCCAGGGTTTAGGGTTTAGGGTTTAGGCTCCAGGGTTTAGGCTTTTGGGTTGGTCGGGCTTGTAGGTTGCTCTTAAGGGTCCCCATCAAAGTTCAAGGCTTGGTTTGGGTGGTACTTAAGGGGTCGGCAGCCCTATGTCTACGTCAACTAGCGTACTGTCGCCCCTATCCCTGCCTCCCCTGAACTTCCAAGCGATTCCACAAGAACTCCAGGTAATCTAAGCTGCAGGGGCCTAGGGCTTAAGAAGTAGGAGGGAAGGGCTTAGGGCATGGGGTGCCAGGGCAGTACTCGATGATAAGATCTTTATACCAATATAAGAACAACGTCCAATGATGATACAAAAAATACATTTGTTTATACTTGTATCTGTGTATGTATATGTATATAATCCCAAATTCAACTTTATCTGTGTATGTACATGTATATGTATATGTATATAAACCCAAGTTCAACATGGTAGCATTTTCAACTCGAAGGCGCCTTGGAGGGTCTCATTCACGAGCACGAGCCGCGAGTCTGCCACCGTAAGCTTGGCTTTGACGTTCCTCTGTCTGGTTCTTAGTAGGGAACAGGGTTCCTTTAAAGGGTCCTATAAGGGTTCTATAAGGGTTCTAAAAAGGGTTCTATAAGGGTTCTGTAAGGGGTCTTAGGGTATCTACAGTCCCTATCTGGTTCTTAGACTGGGGGAATGGATTCTGGAGACGATTATGGGGGATTTTGTGGGACTACTATAGGGATCCATTCCCCCATTCCCTACTAAGAACCAGACAGTCCTTTTGTAGGCCACCGCCGCCCAGCTGCTCAACACCGATACAACCACGCAAGATGCAAAGCCCACTACGAAGGCTTCGCGAAGATAGTAGAGAAGAATGGCTGATGGCACCAAGATGTTGCAGGGCATCACCAAGAAGATGCAGAGAAAGGGTCCCATGTACGGGAAGATGCTTGCATCCTGCCCAATCATGGATATCACCTGCCCTTCGCTGAATTGAGACGTGAACGCACCGGCATCGATGCTCGCCATCTTCGTGAAAATATTGCCTACTAAAGCGGCCCACATCTGCCTCCCCCAGTGAGAGAAGCCATGGAAGCCGTGTTGCTGAAGGAGCCCACCGACCATGCCCGAAGCAGCGATGGCCGAGAGGTACCCGAAGGCCTCAAGCCAGAGCCGCAGTCGCAGGGAGCTCACCGTCTGGCGCAGCAAGAAGGGAGCAAGCAAGAAGCAACATGCAGCGAGCAGGGCCCTCAAAAATTCGAGTAGGAATACGTTCTTCCAGCACTGGAAGAGTGCCCTCTGCAGGGAAGGCGTCCGGTCCTGCCGTGCCACTTCATGTGCCAGATGCTCGGCAAGCCTCCCGGCAGCCGATTCAGAAGACTCCTGGGTTCTTGTTTGGGGGCATACCATAACAGTGGATACATCTTAACTTACTAGACATCCTTACTCTAGTGACTGAAGTGAAAGTCATGGCTTAGGAAGAACCTAGATTCGGCATGTGGGAATGGCGGCAAAGACATCACCGAGAAGTCCTGTCGCGAGATGTCCCGAGACGCCTGTCGGAAAAAAGGCGACACCTAAACCCTAAACCCCTGAACCCCTAAACCCTTACACCCCTAAACCCCTAAACCCTAAAACGCCTGCCGAAAAAAAGGCAGCGCCCATCCGAAGCAAAGCCGGCGAAGGAACCCGGCGGATTCCTCCGCGCTGCCATCTTTGGAGGTCTCCGATGTTGCCATGGCGAGAGCTGGAGACTAGGGCTGTTTCATGAATCCCTCCGATGTCCTCCGAGATTCCGTTTCGGGTTCACGAGGTTTTGGGCTCATTTTTTGAAGTTCAACAACACAGACCCTAAACCCTTAGCCACCAACCAAACACAAGATCGATAAGTCCCAGAACCTGTACCACGAACTATTTCACCAAGTGAAACCCTACCTAAACCTCTAAACCCCCAAACCCCAAACCCATAATAGAACCCCTTATAGATCCGTTATAGGAACCCTTAAAGGTACCCAGCGCAGACACTCGAGGCCGCAAGTTGAGCCTTGCGAGCTTTGGCTCTTTTTGTTGCTGCGGGGAGTCTCGAGGTTCGGCTTTATGGGTAATTGGTATAGGGTTTGGGGTTTAGGGGTTTAGGGTTTAGGGTTTAGGGTTTAGGGTTTAGGGGTTTGGGTTTAGGGTTTAGGGTTTAGGGTTTAGGGGTTAGGGGTTAGGGTTTAGGGTTTAGGGTTTAGGGTTTAGGGCTTAGGGTTTAGGGGTTAGGGGTTAGGGTTTAGGGTTGAAGGGTTTAGGGGTAATTTAGAAAGCATATGCAAGTAGAAAAGGGTTTAGGGCGAGGGTTAAGGGTTTTGGGGTATATTATGCTTACCTAGAACTACTATAGTGTCATTGAGCAACCCGAAGGAAGAATGTTGGGAAGTAGTCGGAGCTGTATACTGGAATGCGTAGGGTTTTAGGGGTTCTTGGCACAGGTGTCTGCAGCAAGCCGGAGCATATAGACACATACACACAGATCTGCATCTGAATGCTCCATCAAATAAAATCAATCTGCTTTGCAGCAGCATGCTGTGGTCTTGAAAGTCCTAAGAGAAACTCAACAATGCTGACAGCATCTGAACACTTGTCAGTGATTGCTGGCACGGTACTGCTTTGGGTTTAAGGGTCAGGGCATCCTATAAGACATTCAAAGTTACATAAAGTTACATTCAGACTGGAAGCAGGTTGGTAGTCCCTGGCATCCGCAGATTTCGTGATTGCTTTCTTGCACGCACGCACGCGCGCACACACACACACATTCATGAGGTTGGATTGAGACTGCGTTGCAAGCCCACACAGTGGGAGCCGATCCACACAACAAACACGAGAGATGGTTGCCAGCATGCATACATGTTATTTATGCCTGTACACAATTTTTGTTACATATATGTATATATATATACACACAGACACACGTAAAGATAAGGAGTGTGCTGCGTGGTTGTGCGTGTGTGTTTGTTTGTACAAGCATGCAGGAATGCATGCATGCGTGTGTGGATGTATGGATGTATGCATGCTCGGACGTATGTATGTACATATGTATGTATGCATTTATGCATGTATGTACGACTGTATGTAAGTACGCCCTTATGGACACGTCAGTGTGCGCGCGCAGGGTGTGCGTGTGGGTGTGGCTGTGGGTGTGCGTGTGTGCATGTACTGGGGCGCTGTTGTACCTATGTAATACATATACATCTGTATACAAGATACATATAATTATATATATATATATGTACATATACACAGTATAGATGCTTCTGTAGTTATTTACATAGGTGTATATATATATATATATATATATCCACACACCTTTGTTTGTGTAAATATTTTATGCACAAATATACATATATATACAAAGAACACATACTTTTTCATTTATCTGTGTATTTACTTACATACGTATTTTTGTCTTGGTGCGCATGTCTCTACTTTCGAGCTTAGTTTGCCATGTGTAGGTACAATATTTCTTAACTCTCTGGCCGCTGCGAATACCTCTTCTTGCTTGCATATATGTGCACTACTCATATGCGAGTACAAATTGGAGCTCTGGACATGCTGGCACTTGCTAAGGACGGAGTATGTAGGAACCGCACGAGACACTCGCTTCAAGCCGCACCCTCTCAATGCTGACAGCTCAAAGCCAACATGATGATGCTGCATACTACAATCCCATCCCGGCAACTGATGGATGCGACAAACATGCGACTGTTCTCGTCATCTTCTGCTACACTAATCTTCCAGAAAAGCTGTGGCTTTCGCATATCCCAGCTCTGCAGCTCGCTGCATCCACGTCATGCCCAGCTCCACGTCGGCCACCACGCCGTCACCGGTGAGATAGCAAACGGCCATGTCGTACTGAGCTCCACTGTTGCCCTGCTCAGCTGCTCTGGTGTACCAGTCTATGGCCAACGCCATGTCCTTCTGCACCCCAACGCCACGGTGGTAGCAGCCTGCCAGCTGATACTCTGCCACCTCGAGGTCCTGAAGTGCAGCTGCTCGGAACTGAACAAATGCAAAGAAATCCTCGCGCGGCACGCCGAGTCCTTTGCTGTGGCACAGCCCGAGCTCAAACTGCGCTCTGCTGTGACCCCTGCTTGCGGCCTTCTTCAGCCAACGCGCGGCTTTGGCAGCGTCGGCTTTTTTCACACCCTCCCCATGAAGGTAGCAAAGAGCTACATGGAATTGTGCTTCGGCATGGGCTTGATGTCCAGCCTTGGTAAACCACTTCAGAGCCATCTCTGGATCTTGTGCCACCCCTCTGCCTTGCTTGTAGCAAAGGCCCAAAGCGAACTGTGCTTTTGCCAAGCCCTGTTCGGCTGCCAAAGTGTACCAGTGCACAGCCTTCTCCTCGTCCCCAAGAATCCCTACTACACCATAAGGGCCCTAAAAGTTTGAAGGTTGGGCTAAAACTTTCTGGTCCTTACGAAACCATAGGGACCCAAAAAGTTTAGAGGTTGGGCTAAACTTTCTGGTCCCTACTAAACGATACGGACCCAAAAAGTTTAGAGGTTGGGCTAAACTTTCTGGTCCCTACTAAACCATGAGGACCCAAAAAGCTTGAAGGTTGGGTATTGGGATCTACGTCTCCTCGTCCCTCACTCCGGGCAGCCCCGCAACATAGGAGGCGCCAAGCCTCGGTTCTTGCTAGGGTTGAAGGGTTTAGGGATTTAGTTTTAAGTTACCATATAATGAAAACATATTTTTATTATAGATCCCTATTATGGTAACTTCAAAGGGAGCCGCTATAGATCCCTTAAAGGAACCCTCAAAGGATCCCTATTATGGTAACTTCAATTAAACCCCTTAACAAGCACCCTTATAGAACCCGAAACCCTAAAGCCTTAAAGGAACCCGTATAGATCACTTAAAGGACCCCTTATGGACTCCTTAATCCCCTAACAAGAACCCAGAAGCTCGAACTGAGCCTCTGCGGAGCCCTGCGCAGCCTCGCGCTCCCGAGCTTGAGAAGGGTCACCCGGTGCCTCTGTGCTGAAGCACAGATGACTCTGATGATTCTGAAGAGTCCGAAGAGTCTGAAGATTCTGATCTTGAGAATCGGCTTCGCATGTGGCTGCTGCTTCTATCTGCGGCCGACCGCAGGGATCGCATGCGTCGCCTACGCGGCAGCGTTTGCTTCTGGCCGCGAGCCATCGGGCCCATCCACTCGTCACGGCTTTGACTTGTCTTTCTGATTCCACCTGTCGGGCTTTAATTTGCATTTGTTTTAAGGGCCCTTTTCCAACCTGCACTCTCCGGGCTTTAATGTTCAGGGTTTAGGGTTCTTGCCTGTGTTGACAAACTTTTCGATCAAGCCAGCCAGGGCTGAGGGTTTAGGGGTTAGGGGCTATAAGGGTTCAGGGTGCAGGGCTTTTTTTGAGGGCCCTTTTCTACCTGTTGATGCAGCTAGGATTCCTCTATCAGGGTTCAGGGTTTATATATACCCTAAACCCTAAACCCTAAACCCTAAACCCTATAGGGTTTACGGTTCAGGGGTTAGGAGGGGCCAGAGGGCCAATGTCTCCACCTGCTGGGCTTGTGGCGGCTCTGCAGCGGCAGTTAATGACCAGATCCGCTGAGCCAGTGCTAAGTTGGGGTTCGGGCCTGCCAGCGGGCCTCGGGACAGGACCTAGGTGTGGGAGTTCAGGGTTTTGCTTTTTTTGTTTTGGGTTTTGGGTTTCGGGTTTAGGGTTGAAGTTTAGGGTTTGGGGTTGGGTTAAGGTTTAGGGTATCCCGGATGTTGTTTTCCAGTGGCTCCTATCAGGACCCCGAAAAAAGGCAAGCAAATAAAAAACAGAGTAAGCCTCAGGAGGAGTCGCGGCACCTTTTCTATTAGCTCCGCAGACTTGCTGCGAAGCGCCTGCTCTGCATTGCTCGACAACTTCTCTGAAACCACGAAGTCGTCCAAGGTGGTCGAGAGCCTCGGCGGCGACCCATGGATCCTCAGCGGGTTCTGTTTTGGGGTTTAGGGCTTGATGGTTTGGGGTCGGCATTTAGGGGTCTAGGCATTTAGCAGCTGAGTAGCTTATTATTCGTTCCGGTTGCGGGACTCCGTTGGATCTATCTTTTGATTGAATTATTCAGACGGGACAGCAGTAGGGCCCCTGCAAAGCCCTGGCAGCCTTTTGTAAACTTCGACCAAAGATTTTCAAAAAGCCAGCCAGGCAGCACTCGGCACAAGCCCTGAACCCTAAATCCCCCACGCCATGAACCTTGAATCCCCGAATCTAAACCCTACAAACAACTAAACCCCTAAACCCCTAAACCCTAAACCCCTAAACCCTGAAAACCGCCTAAACCGCCTAAACCGCCTAAACCCCTAAATCCTGAAACCTAAACCCCTAAACCCCTAAACCACCTAAACCCCTAAACCCTCAACCCTAAAACCTAAACCGCCTAAACCCCTAAACCCTGAAACCTAAACCCCTAAACCCCTAAACCCCTAAACCGTCTAAACCCCTAAACCGTCTAAACCCCTAAACCCCTAAACCGCCTAAACCCCTAAACCCTCAACCCTAAAACCTAAACCGCCTAAACCCCTAAACCCTGAAACCTAAACCCCTAAACCCCTAAACCGTCTAAACCCCTAAACCGTCTAAACCCCTAAACCCCTAAACCGCCTAAACCCTAAACCCTAAAACCTAAACCCCTAAACCCTGAACCCTCCCCAGCCCGAAGCGGAGTGCCTTGCGAGATCAGCGGCCTTCCGCCCTCTGCGACGAAGGCTTGGCATGGCCAAAGCTATTTTCCAGTTTTTGTTATCTATGATGGCGGACCTTTTCCGCAAAGCCTGCTCGCCCCTCGTGGGCACATAGTGTCGTAGACAGCCGGAGGAACGCATACTTCTTAGGCGTAGACTGTTTTCCAGTTTAGGGCTGAGGGTTTAGGGTTTTGCGGTAGGGTCTAAGGTAATTAGGGGTTGGGGCTTAGAGTTTAGGATTTCAGGTGTAGGGTTTAGAGTTTAGGTTTTAAGATTTCGGATCTGGTTTGGGGCTCAAGGGTTAAGTCAGTGATCAGGGTTTAGGGTCTGGGGCATAGGGTTCAACTCGACACAATCCCTTTGCTTTTGCTCTTTAGGATTTGGGGTGGGCTCAGAAGCCCCGGTGTGTTTTCAATTGCATCTCTGTACATACGGCCTCGAGAAAACGGTACAAGTCAGAGCCAAGTTTGCTACGAGTTGAACAGATGTTCATGACATGGAACGATGGTTGCACTACAAGGTCCATGAACTGTGAAACCCAAGTGCGCGATTAGCTACATCAAGTAGCCTCGTAACTTGTAACACTATACTTTGACAATATTTTGCCGTTTTCCAGCGGTTCAGTCTTAGCAAGGAAGCTCCTCAAAGCAAAAGGCGAAAGGGCGCCTGGAATGACCGTACTTGCCAAGTGCTCTGATCCTTTGGGTGAAGTACATGGTCCAAGGACTCGGGCCTAGCATGACACCATTATTATCGGCATCTTGATTGTTATTATGATCAATATGTGCATGATTATGTGAACAATATGATTCAATATGTGCATTATCATGGTGGGTAATGTTCTAAGTCATTTCAAATTCGTAATCCACCGCGTCGAAGCGCCAAATTTGTATCGAAGGCCCACATCGGAGTTTGCGAAAATAGGGGACCCTAATATGGTACCCTAAATAGCAGGATCCTTATTATAAGGACCCCAATATAAGGTACCCCCGATTTTCGGAAACTCCCACATCGACTCCCCCAGTGGAGGATGCCTCAACGAAGGAAATCTGCAAAATAGTCTGCAGGGGCCTTTCATAGTTAGAACCTGTAAAGGGGTCTATATAAGGGCTACTATAAGGGTACTACAATGTAGGGGCCTCTAAAATTAGAATAGGGTTTTGGGGTATAGTATAGTATATCTATGACAAGGAACCCTAAGAATAATATTGGTAATTATTAACGCTTCTATAGTAACGTAAACGAATTTCGGAAGAAGAAGAACCCTTAACCAAACAAAGCATGGCTTAAACCAGAGCTCTGCTCCTCAGAGAGAAAAGGTGCCCGTATTTTAGTTGGTGGTAGGGGTTTAGGATTTAGGACTTAGGTTTAGGAGGCTCTGTTTCAAGGCTGACAGCATAAGTGGCCGCGGAGTCTCTGGTAAGCGTCAGAAGCCCTGAAATTCGCTGCTGACTTCTGCAGTGGTAGGTTTAGGGTCAGGGGTGCACAGAACCCTGTATAGAGAGAGGACCCACTGCCTACGAAAAGGCAATGTTGCTTGAGCCTGTCCAATGCTGTCACTCGCGAAGCACCTCATAAAGAGCCTTATCAGTCCGCATGATAGCCTTGAAGAAACCTCACAGAAAGCCTAGTAATAGACCGTTCTAAGACCCTGCCTTTGAGGTTAGGATTGCGGGTTTGGGCTGCAGCATCAGCATGGCTTGTAGAGACTGTGCGTCTTTCGGGCTAAGGGGTTTGGGGTTCAAGTCTCAATGGTGCTCGGGTCTCAATGGGGTTCAGGTCTCAACGGGGTTTAGGCTTAGGGCTTTAAGTTTAAGGCTTCTGAATTTGAGCCCTGGACACTCGAAAATGTCCTTAAACCCATGGCTTTTCAACGAGGCAAAAGGCACCGCTTGGCGGTGCGGGGTCTGAGGGTACGCCGGCGTTGGAGCGTTGGTGAAACAGATGGAGTTCTTCGAAACGGTCAGTTTGGCTCTTAGGGTTTGGGGTTTTCGAGGAGATTGCGATTAGAGGGTGGCTTGCTTGGGTGTTTAGGTTTGAGGGTGGTGGGCTTAGGGTTTAGGGTTTAGGGTTTAGGGTTTAGGGTCTAGTGTTTAGGGTTCGAGGATTGTACGTTTGGGCCTTACTTGGGCCGAGGGGTTCCAAGGGCTCCGGCGGCTTGGAAAGGCTACACCTACACAACCTAAACCCTGAAACCCTTAAAACCGCAAAACCCCTAAAAGCCCTAAACCCCCTAAAACCCCTAAAACCCCTAAACCCCTAAACCACTAAACCACTCAAACCCCTAAAACACCAAGTCCTACACTTGGACGGTCACCTGGACATCGCTGGTCTCCGATGGCAGGTCGTGGTCGTCTCCTGGGTTCTTGATAAAGTAAAAGCCAGAAAGTTGGAATATGGTTTCAGGGTAGGATACCTTATAATTTACCATAAAGGGGTTACGATAATGATATTCCAACTTTCTGGCTTTTACTATAAGGGATTTAATTTAAGTTACCCATTCCCCCAACCTGGGTTCTTGTTAGGGTTTAGGGTTTTGGGGTTTAGGGGTTCAGAGTTTAGGGTTAGGGGCTTAGGATTTAGGGTCTAGTTTGAGTTACCATAATGATGAAACCGTATATATTTTTTACTATAGATCCCTATTATGGTAACTCAGAAGGAACCCTTAAAGGATCCCTAGTATGCTGACTTACATTAAGTCCCTGAAACAAGAACCCCTACAGAACCCTAAACCCTAAACCTTTAAAGGAACCCTAATGGATCCCTTACAGGAACCCTTATAGATCCCTTAAAGGGCTCCTTATAGATTCCTTACAGGAGCCCTTGTAAACTCCTCAAAGGAGCCCTTATAGATCCCTTAAAGGAACCCTTATAGATTCCTTAAAGGAGCCCCTATGGATCCCTTAAGAAGAGCGCAGTCTCCGATGCCCGCTTCTGAGATCTGCCGCGCCTGCCAGGCGCCCAGATTCAGGCCGCCTTGGGTTTCAAGGTTTGGTTATCATTATTATTAATTACTATTGCTATTACTACTACCATCCCTAAACCCTAAACCCTAAACCCTAAACCCTAAACCCTAAACCCTAAACCATTACTATTTGTATTATTATTACTATTGTTACCATTATTGATAGATAACAAGGTTAGGGTTTAGAGGATGTAGAGCTGTAAGGGTTTAGGGATAGGGGTGCCGCATTTTGGGGTCCTAGGGTTTCTTTAGGGGGTCTTTTGGGGGATCTCCAAAAGCTTAGGGTTTAGGGTACCGTGTTTTGGGGTCCTTATATTGAGGGATCCTACTATTTAGGGTACTATATTCGGGTTTAGGGCATAAGCCCGAAACCCTAGTTCTTATCCTTAATCCCTTAACCCCAAACCCTACAACCCCATGTCATACATTTATGCGGACCAGAACAGAAGACAACCGTCCTTCGGCTCGAATCGCTTAAACCCTCCAGTATCTCCGCTACACGCAGATTTAGTGTCTAGGGCTGGGGGCTTAGAGTTTAGGGCCGAGGGCTTTGGTTACTTGCGTGTAAAACAAGGGCTTGAAGAATAAGATGGGGCTCGTTAAGGGTGTAGTACGAGGGTTGAAAGAACAACGTCAAGGTCACGGTCTTCTTCAAGGGTGCAGTGGTAGAGTCAGATTAGGGTCAACTTTAAAGACTTGCAGGCCTACTTATTATAGGGTTGGAATCGCGAGATTAAGGTTTTCCTTCACGGGTCCCTAAACATGGGTGGATTTTGGGTTACTATATAAGTGTTGCAACAAGGGTTGATATATGGGCCGAAGTATTACGAGCGTCCAAAATTCCAAGAGGGTTTAGTGGAGTAAACGCCCTAAACCCTAAACCGGCCCGAGGAGTAGCACAGAAGTTCTTTTGGTAATCACTGAGGCTCCTGTATTGTGCACTGTAGAACTTGATACTGTCGATGATATAAATCCTGCGCTTAGGGTCCTTAAAGTAATGCAGGATTTATACTGCTGATGGACAAAATCCTGCATGACCCTAAGGACTCTAAACTATGGGAACTATGGTATATTTTGCTTGTAATGGGTAATGCAGGATTTATATCATCCACCGTAGGTCTTAGGGACGGCCTTGGCAAGGCGCTTGCAGGGTCTTCAAGGCGTTGAAAGGAGGTTAAGAAATCCTAAACTTAAAATATATGAACCCCAAAAGGAGCTACTTTGGGGCCTCAGGGTACAGCCCCGAAAGATGCCAGGCCGGAAAGCCCCTGGCCTTG